CGAGCCGTAAGTAAAACACATGTCCCTGTGTATATATATATATATATATACAGTATATTTATACAAGGTACTGTACCTTTGTGGCCCATTGAATTTATGTAAATTTCTAATTTGGCCCATTAAGAAAAAAGGTTGGACAACCGTGTTCTATGCTATTCTTACCCATATATTACTACTTAAAATCTATCTACTTTTATATTTAATCTCAATGACAATCATTTGGATTTTAGTTTACTCCCAATTATATTTTTAAGCTGTTAATAGCATGTCAAATAATCTATATAAAAAATTATACTTTTAACTTAACTACAAAAATCGGCATGTAGTTGGGATTTGATACAAAGAGATACAATATGTCTCTCGTCCCATTGTATCTTCGTTCACATACATTCTTGAACCTGAAAAATGACTATTTAAAATAGTCAAAAACATTTGTTCATCAAAAGTACATGCTACATTTTAAGAACTTTGAAGTTTAAGTTGTATGTATCCAATTGAAGAGGTTACTGCTGTGGTTTATAATTTTTTTTAATTAATAAATTGTATTTATCAAAAAATTTTCAAGCACATATCGGATGTACTTAGACATTATGATTAAAAAGATTTTGTATTAATTACGTATAAAATTTTTATTATTAATTTATTTGCTTATTATTGAATTATATGTTACATTTTCATTTACAGGTTACAATACCTGGTTTACTTGGACAATATAATCATTTTCAAGGAAATAAATTGTGCACATATCCCGAAGGAGCAAAGCAAATAGCTGCAGAATGCGTTCTAGTACAATTAGGTATATCGTTAGAAGGTATGTATTCTTCTTTCAAATGCATATTTTGTTTTAATGATATAAAGTACAGGTAACCCTTGTATAACACGGGAGTTACGTTTCAAAAAATTGCCGTGTTATGCGAGTCCGTGTTATATGAAACAAAGAACTAGTGTGAAAAGGGGGGTTAGGTTCCAAAAATTAAAAAAACATGCTGTTAAATTCTTATTTAAATTAGATTTATTATTTATTTTTTTCATAGGTAAAATACTTATGATCTCAGCATGAGCATCATCATCTGGTAACAGTTTTTGGGTGCGTTCTTTAATAGTTGTCGCTCTGAAACGGGAGTGAGCTGCTATTTGTAGGCATTTAGGAACGATGGTGAAAAAAAGATGGCAGCGTCCTCACTATCGTGATGGAGGAATCTATAATTCTAAAATGAGCTTTTAGAGACAAAAGAAGGGGCCCAATTGTAAAATTTAACCATTAAATGGATTATTCATTGAAAGAGCATTCAAAGTAGCCACGAAAACAATTAAAATGCTCTCGCGGAGTTACGCGGAAGTATAAAAGAACGCACCCTTTGTTACATTTCATGTTGTATGAGGGTTTTACCCAATTCCCGAACCTTGTTAGAGTGAACTTGTGCTATAAAAGCACTGTGTTATACGGGAATGTTCCCAATTCTCGAACTGTGTTAGAGTGAATCCGTGCTATAGAAGTGCTGTGTTATACGGGGGTTACCTGTATACATTAAAGTAATTCAAGATTTATGTGATCATATCGAGAAAATTACAACATTAAAAACCTATACATAAACCTTATAGACGCAATTTTGTAGTGAATTAAATGTAGAGACAATGCTTTTAATACCTTTATCAAATAGCTTTAATTAATGAACAATTTTTAAGTACATTACTACTAACTTATGGCAGTGTGACTGCATGGACATCAGACACACTCATTCAGCTCTACCACTTGCAGCCTTGCCATCACAAATTACAATGAACAAATCAAAACTTTGTTTTCACTGGCTTTTGTCATTTTCAGAGAATTAAAACCCTTGGGGTTGTTTTGTCAGTCTCACTAGCTGATTGGTAGATGCACTTGAAGAAATTACTGTGTATCAGGGAGACTGGTAGTTAGCTGTACCCACCCCAATAACCAAAGTTAATTTGATCATTAGGGAATCTTTAGGTCTCCATTAGCTGCTGCCTGTACCTGTGATAAGTAATGCCTTCAGGCATTGTTAGGATATATGATCTGGGGATCTTTTTGCAATATACTTTCTCTTCCATCTTCAATGGAGGTAAAACTTTAATATGCTGATCATAATATTTTGTCATTTTATTTGCCTTTTCTGCATGAATTTTTCCTCAGTAATCAGTATTTATGACTTTTTGACATTCTTACTGACAGAAACTTTCATCTTAAGTGATCAGGAATTCAAAAGTTTATTGGACCAATACCAATACATTGGGGTACGTGTCACCCCTTTTTGTCTCAGTTTCTCTTTCCTAATCCCCAAGAGGTCCTCAAACAACAGAAAATTTGTGACTTCTAGCCTATTCTTCAAATGTAAAAGAAACTAATGAATAACATTTGTCCATGGACCCAAACAACTGTAACGTTTAGTTACGCTGAAATGTTTAAGAATAAGTCAAATATTACTAGTAACTAAATATGCTTTATTTCATGTAACAAGGAACAATATACAGCCACGAGTCACTGGCACAAGGTCTCCTACAAAACGTGGTCCTGGCGGGAAGATAGACAAAAGATATGTTTTACGGTCGCACGGTGGTATTTTATGCCGATATGTTTTGTGCACTGCTGTGCTTTTCCTAATTTTAAAAATCGAATACAGCTTTGATTGTCCTCAAATATTTTAATAGGTCTCATAATCAGTAGATTTATTTCTTTTAGAAGTCATTTCATTTGTATAGTTTCTTGGGTAGCTTCAGCCTGGGCTACTTAGCTTTGGTGGATGAAAATGCTACATACTTGTTGCTTTTCATTGATATTTACAGGATATTTACTTATGTTAAAACATGAGTAAATATCCTATGTTTATTTCATGAACGATATGATTGTCTCTGCAATCAGTGTTGACATAACATTTAAATTATGATTTTTCATCAATTTTTCCTAGTTCCAGTCTCTTCTTTTTTGTTGAATTCAGAGAACAAAAAATTTTTTTACTTTCACCCAATTACTTTCCAAAGGTTTTGTTGTTTAAAATTCACTTTATAATTTGGTTTTATTTACTTTTACATAGAAGTTGATTAATAAAAATTTTAAAAATAATTTCCAATGTTATCCATCAAGCAGGAATATCTGACAATGCCTGCTATAATTTCTTAATGGTTGGACATTGGCACTCATAATTTCATTTGAAGATTCATGTAGAACAATAGCCACATTTATAAATATCATATTTGGAGTTTCTACATCTCTTCAATCTTTATGTGACTAATTTTGGAATTTTTGTCCAGGTCTTCTCAGATTTTCACTTTCTACTGCTTCTAGTTTGTGATTTTCTACAGTAGCTGTTAGAATTTATGAATGTTTTATTTTGTTTCAATTTGTATTCAATTTTTTGCCATTTAGCATTGTTTGAAATGCAAGAAATGGGTGAAATATCACCTAAAGGCACTGGTTGTTATACTTAGCTTGCAGGAGTGTCATTTCCCTTCAGCATTATTTTTGTATTGGGCACTCTTTGATAAAAATATACTGGTTAATTAACAATTGTTTTTATCCAATCAGTAATATATCCAACTTGGGTAATGACCAAAACAAAAACTAAGTTAAACAAGCACAAGTAAGTTTGTATTTCCCTCCTTGGTGCCTTTTTTCTGGTATATTGTGACAAGAAGGTTAGAATAACAATATTTGATTCCGATGCTTTTTTGTTGGCCTAACAGCATATTATAAATCAAACAAAAAGCAAGAATGGGAAGCTAAATATATGTGATTTATTCACATAATAATTAAAACTGTCAATTTAAAATAAAGATGTATTCATCTTTGAAATTTTCAAAATTTTCTAAGAGCAACTCAAAAACAACACACAAATGAAAGAAAGAAACTGTTTCTGATAGCCACCATTACACGATTATAAACTTGCCACGACATTTACTAGTCGACCACATCAATCAAACATTAACAGTTCCATTCTGTTTCGGAATACCTAAGCCAGCGGGATCGTCAATCGAGCATCGTTGTCCACTTTCCTCTACATGTCGTTCTCGAACGTATCGGGCATTTCATTTCTTCTTAAGTATCCCATATCCATAGAAATATTAGACGGTTAGTGCCGAAATATTAGCAGCTAGAAATATTTTTGTGATATCTTTGGCTGCATCCACAGAGCCAAAACTTAGTGCTACCTATTCAAATATTAGATGGTCTGGAATCAGAAGAGTTAAATTATCATAATTCTCAATATATTTTTTTGGCAAATTAAAAATATTTTGTTTTCATCTGTTTCGAATTGTATTCCTGGATATTTTAAGTCACCTAAATTTTTGATTTCAAGTATTTATTTCATTTTGGTCTCAGTCAGTTAACATATACTCACGTCTTATTACTTCATCTATGTAAACTGCTAAAAACAAACATCTTTTATGGTTTCCGGTAAAAACTCAGGGATTGGTTATACTTGGAAATTCTTTAGATAGCAATGTTTCATTGAGTTTTTGTTCCATTCATTTTTTAATAATTGGCAAGCCATATATGGTGATGTTACTTTGTGTGACAAGTTTCCATTGAAGCAAAAAATTTGTAAGTATAATTAAAGAAATTATTTTTTACTTCCACTGGGATACAGCTGGTAGTATTAGGCGCATTTTAATAAATTTTACACACTAACACAGATTACTACAGTATTAACAGATACAGAATAGTTTTAAAGTAGGTTGTGTGGTCAGAAAGCATTATCAGGAATATTACTGACAGACAAATTAAAATGTAATGATTATGTTCTGATTAATTTATTATAAAATTTTTAGTACTTTATAAGAAATTACTCAGAGATGCAAATTATTTTTGAATCACTCACTTTATGTTGATTGATACATTAATAGTAAATGGTGGAATTAAATATAATTTAATAATGAGTGTTTACAGAAAACAGAAATCTCATCCGTTCTTCCCCAGGCCGACGATGTTGCTATTTTCATTAATTATATTACATTTGTTACTTTATATTATGATTGAATTTATAACAAGCAAATTATTGATATAATTATGGTCCCGATTAGCAGGTATGGAGACGACAGTAGTATCAACGTCGATACAAGTCCCTCCCCTTAGCGGGTCCGGCATACCTGTACTAGCGGCCGTCACTGCGACGTATCTACCGTCCGGACAGTTCGGTCCCGTCCCGACTAATGCAACAGGTAGAATTTCCTTTGTAGAAAAGGAGATTTGAGTAAATTCTTTCTTACTTTCCCATCCCTATTACTCTTATCTCTTAGTGTCTCTCCGGTGCTTTGTGTATTTCGTTTTAGCCAATCGCTCCTACAAGTATCTGTTTTAGTTTAGTAGGCTCGTATCTGGCGCAATTATCAAATAATTTCAGAATTTAAAAAAGGTATCAAGAATTTTTAATACCTATATAAACGTGTACCGAAGTTCCGACTCGTTATTTAGCTGGACAATTTTTATAAAAGACCGAATACACTTTTAAAGCATGGGACGAAAGGGCGCATTTTGGTTGTTTATTGTTTATTAGGTGAAATTTTGTTTACATAGCAAGTTTTCTGACTATTACATTTTATTTATAATTCGACCTATTATTGCGTTACTTGTAGTAAGATGCAATCGATCGACATCTGTAGAACGAAATAAAGATTGCGTGCACTCAGATTAGTTTCCGTGGCATTAGATATTTCTCGTAACAGAGGCATTTACAGATAAGAGAATAGGGTAATGGGATTTCGAGTATGCCTGTTGCCAATTCTGTCCCCTTCAATTTTATTTACTCTTTAGGTAAACCAATTTGAAATTAGTTAGAAATTGAATGTCCAAGGTAGACAGTTGTTGCAGTCCGGTGATAATTGATTTTTCTTAATTTTGAAACGTTTAGATGGAAGAGAATAGCAAAGTTTTTTACTCCGAAAGGGAACATTAGGAGGTGGAAAAAATCTGTGCATGACTTTCAAAGCTTTTAAAAGTCTTTTGATTTAGCAAAGACTACAATGAAAACTTTTTGTCATTCGCAATATTGTATTATATCGATAGTCTAAATATATAAAATTGCTTGTCCTGACTGACTGACTGACTGACTGACTGAATGACTCACTGATTCATCATCGCCCAGAGCAAACCGCTTAATTTAAAGAGGTGAAATATAGGTAGACAGTTAGGGTACGTCATGGAAACGCACACTAAGAAAGGGGTTTTTCGAAATTCCTCCGCGGGCGGGAGAGGGAGAGGATTTAGTCTTCATCGAGTACTTGGGTGTATTAAATTGATAACATTTCAGACATTGTTATAAATATTTTTATCTATTTCGATTTTAAAAATGTTCGAACCGTTTTAAATTCGAATTTATTATTGCATATTGGTTCGATTATAGAACGACTGTAAACGTTCCAGAAAATTGATCAAATTGAAAATAGTTCGTTTGATTCTCGCCAATTCTCGTCATTCTCGGCGGTAGGTGTTATATAACAATTACTATGGTTATTGAAATACTGAATATAAATAGGGTTTGCTGGCAAAATCCGCGCGGGCAAAGCCGCTGGTAACAGCTAGTAATGTATAAAGTAGTTGCCGACCAAGTTTTAAATGCAAACTGTTTTGAAATAAAACGTGTAATCTGAGTTTTAAAGTTACTTTCTCGGCTGTTATAGAATGTAACGGGAAAAGTGTAGCGATCAGTCAAACTCTCCCAACATTGTTTTTTGTTTTTTCATTTGTTCACGTTTTGATATTCCACCAGCCCAAAAATATAAATAAATCTGTTTTACATTATATCTCGGGACTAGATGACCAAATAATTTGAATCTTGGAACGATTATTTCCGTATATGGAACATGGATGCTATTAAAGTTTGGCGATTAAAGGTCGAGGGGGTGGGGAGACAGAGTGGTAACGCGTCGTATTTCCAGTGCAGTAAGACTTAACGAAAGTTTCACTACTTATTAACATTTACAAATTTCTTTTAAAATCTCATTCCTATCTCTGGAAATAAGCCTTTTATATTTTATAATAATTAGTATCGCAAACTTCTACGCCTAACTTTTTAATTTTGTAAATAAGGGGGGTTCCGGGCACCTCCGATTTACAACGCCCGTTGCCGGCTTTCCTTCGCTTAAATTATATAATTTCCTTATTAATACTCAAAAAGTAAATACCGTAACTGGTACGAATCGGGGGTGTAGCTAGGGTGGGGCAAGTAGGGCGCGTGCTCCGGGCGCCGATATAGCGTCGCGCCCCGGGCGCCGGTTACGTTCGCTACGCCGTTGGTACAAATTTAAGTTAAATGAGTTGCGAATTATGTAAAAATAGTCGTTTCGTTTACATTTTTAAAAATAAAACGTGGTTTAATTCCTTTGGTAGAATTTCGATAGAATACGAGCGTATTTGGTGCCTCTAGGTGATCGTTTCGGTCGATTTCTGTCGGGCAGTTGTCGCGTCTAAAGGCTGCTATACACCATGGGTTAATCCTTTGAGACTGCCTGTCCTTGAGGAACTTCCGAATTCTTTTTGCGGAGTTTTCATTCGTCTCTCTAGACGGTGGGGAGTCCAGTTTTTGTCTGCAAATAATTATCAATACGATAGTTTAAAATATTTAAATTTAAAAAGGACATGGACGTAATAAATTATAAATTTATTTCGTCGATCTACTTTTATACATTTATAATTTACGTCATTTAATGCCAGCACTGGTAATACACGATATTGCCAAAATATTCCCGACAAGAAATCGATAGTTTTTCTATCATTAGATTCTTCGTTTTTGTCAACCCGTTACTAAATTGTCGGCTTATAAATCGATTAATTTTGACTTAGACTAAATCTGGGTTTATTCTGGTCGTTGTTAATTAGAGCAGTCCGGAAGTCGGTTTTTGATATTCCGTTGTGTTTTATTATATTATTTTGATCCGCGATAGGCAAATTTTTGCGATTTTGCTGGCGAAGCCAACCAAATTTTACCACTGAACTTTATTACTATTCCTAGTTTATCGTAGATTCCGTTCATCTACGGTCTGCAAAAACTCGTACACGCTACGCTTCTTTATCGTACTTAACCCGATTTCTCACTATCCTTATTAAGGAGCCAACGCCGAGCCGTAAGTAAAACAAACGTCCCTAATATTACAAAACACGTTGGGCCGTTCGTTTGCGAGTTTCGAGGGTAATTAAAACACTGTCGATTTAAGCTTACTGTATTATTGCCGGCGATTTAATCGTTACGATTATCCTCGTCCGGATTTATATACAAATATCCGCGCGGTACGCTACATAAATTTAAATAAGCAATCCAAAGCCAAAGCCGTCGACTTTAATTAATGCGGTAAATATAGGCATTTTGTGGTTGGACGCTTCTAGACAAAAGAATAAAAAGTTGGGTAAATTTTGAACTTTCGCATTCCGAGTTTGAAGGGAAGTTTACGATGGCGACGGTTATCGCGTAATTTGTTACGACGCCGTTGGCGGAATAAAAATATCAAATAAATACGCTAGTAAATAGGAGCAAATGCGAAGATAACTGTTAATTATACAGTTTATATTCAGATTTTAAGTGATAATTTACGATCTTTAAAAATTCAAATTTTCACTGGCAGTGTAAGTACTACTACCAGCGACCGATTACTTACGCTGGCAAACGAATACCGTAAATTCTGGTCGTTACGGTATTGAGCTCTACGTAAAGCGGGTTGTTGTCGCGGTTCGGTGGGACTTAACGGTCGACGACGGGAAAAATTATTGGATATTACCCAGCGCCCCCTCCCCCCCCTCTGGTTCGGAATTTGCCGGGCGCGGTGGCCGAAGAAAGTTTAAAGCGGCGGAAAACACCGACAAATAAACGATAATTTTAATCGAAAAGTTGGCTCTAATGGAAGAAATGGAGACGAAAAAGGGGAGCCGATCCGGACCAGTTTGAATTAAAGGTCGGCAAAATGGATAGGTACCACCAACGGTAACGGTTTTTCTCTAACCGATCCTTTGGTGCGGGTGAAACTGCAAAAGATCGAAGGTTTCCGGAGGGCGGCCGTTGCAGTTTCGAAAGCGGCCCGACCACCGGGATAGAGTGGGGACGACGAAAGGGAAACGTTTTGTCGGACGTGGATTATTGCGCCGTTCTCCGACAAAACTTTTCGGAATCTTAACCCGAATCGACCGCCCGGCCCGGCCCGTCCACCTTCGAACCCGGGAATGATAATATAAAATTTTAACAGCCTTAAATTAACGCTCGAACGAGTACCTCGGGATGCGAATACGCACTCCCGAAAAAGTGAAATGGCGGCGTCGCGAAGAATAAGACCGTATAGGCTAATGCGCGTTGCGGGCCGTTAGAAGCGAGAGACGCTAGCAAATGATTAAAAGAACGAACAAATATACGCAACGGACACTCGTTTATTCGGTAACGAATAAGGCGAGGCATACTACCAACCGGGCGATTAACGATTGCCCGAGGTGTCCGTCGTCTATGCTATAGGGCGGTGCGCCACGCGTGTTCAATGAGAGAAATTGGGTGAGCCTGGCGACGCGCAGTCGGGCATCGCATTGCCGAACCACGGGCTCCCACAATTGGCGCAACGTCCGCTCTGCCGATCGAACCGCGATGCTCGGTGCGGGACCGGTACGTAGCATTCTCCGGGATACCTCCGCGGCCGCCATTTTTCCAGCGGGATTTGTCCATAAACGGTACTCGACGCAATTCGGTGGTCTAGTTGCGACGACGCAGTACCTGCCGGGCGTTAGTTAACTCGGGTTGCCAGTTGCCGCGCGTGCAATCCGAGTCGGCGCGACTGGTCGAAAATCGTTTGGGTTGACGTAGATGCAGGCGTTCGTCGATCGGCTTCTAATGTCACGCCGGTCTCAAATCTGCCGGTCCGCGCGCTCTGTCGTTTACCGGTACAATTGGCTCCGTCTTCGGAGACGTCCGGATGGTACTGACGTGGCGACTGCGCGTATCGAGGTTGCGCAGCTCCGAGATACGTTCGGAGACTTAACGAGTCGGATGCGTCAAAATCGGAGGCATCCGTAAAATTAATTGTCACTGGCCGTCCCTTTGGCCATTCGAAACGTTTCGACTCGGAAGACGACGACGAAATTCGAGAAGATTGAGAAATCGTAAGGTTTTTAAACGCTAACGCTTGGCGTGCAAGGACGGAAATGCAAGATTTTACCGAATTTGAGAAAATCTGCAAGTAGGCCAAGAAGGACGAAATTGCGAATTAAGTGGCGAAGAGCCGACAAATTACGTCGCTCTACCGATAGAAAATGCTCTCGACTGGGCTCGGCAAAATGTCGCTTTATCGTCTTACCGGGAGTTTAATTACTAGAGAGAAATTAACCAGAGGGAAATTAAAATCTTTCTATATTTTTAAATGAGAATTGGCCGCAACCGACGCGTCCGTTACGATATTACGGACCGTGTGGGTAATATCGTCGCGACGGACGGAATCGGCCGGTACTTCCAGGTCGGTTCTATCCGGAGTTTGCCGTATATCGAACAATTATTAGAAATATTTATAATCCGGTTTCGCTGGCAAAACTTATTTTGTGTAAGCGTATAGGCCTATATCGGCCTCGGTATTATTTACATGTTTTTAACTCTGCCCCGCGAGCAGAGCGGACACTTAAACCTACCTAGACTTAAAGAAACCGAAATGAGAGGGCCTGGTTTAGCTAGCCCATTACGGGTTGGGCCGGGTGGCGAGGCACGGGGCCCGACGTATCCCCGGGGATACGTCCCGGTTCTCCCGCGGCAGTAGGCTGCCACCTCGGCCGCGAAGGGTATCGTTTAGGTCGTAAAGGTGTTACGTATTGGTCGGTCTGTCTCGAATCTAACGAAAATTTCGCGATTAAATTCGAATAAATAATTTTGTACGGCTTTAATTGGGATTTCCTTACTTTCTGACAAAAAGACTTCACCGTAAGAGATGATATGAAAAAAATTGCGGACGACGGATCCGTAGTCTCTTGTAGAAGTAAAGAAAGGCACCGGTAGAGACACGCCTTCCTTTCTTATTCTCTTCTGTTCCCGGCCCTCGTCGTTATAAGTCTATCGATATATATTAAAAGCGAAATGTTCTGCGGCTACCGAAACCGAAACTAACGCTTTACGAAAGTGCCGCGAATACGGACTGGACTCGGACTCTGCGCGTGAAATCCGTCCAGACCCAGCGCTTTATCTTCACTTTCCCAAATATTAACTTTCGATCTGTTTTAGTTTCGGTTTCGGTGTAAAGGCCGGGGTTTTAATTAACCCGGTAGCCCATAAACGCGGAAATTTTGTACGGTCAAATTTTATATATGTTTACGTTTTCTTTCTTAGCTTACGAACAAGGCTACTACCAGACGGGAGCGCCCCATCCGCATCCTCCTCCTCCGCCTCCGCCGCCGCCGCCGCCGCCTTCGCAAGTGCAGATGTACTGACATCGGAAAACCGGAGTTTGGTGGGACGGCCCGGTTCCCGGGTTTATTTATTTTAAGTTTAGAATACAATAATAACCTTTCGAGAATATTCGCTTTTCGGGCCCTTTGTTTTGTAATTTTATACTTTAAAACGGGCGTCCGGTGGGACTCATCCTTCCAAACTTTGCGTTTTAACCTTTCGTTTCGGTTTCCAGTTCAATTTGGGGATTGTTATTTTTACTATTGTCGTCCCTGTTCTTATTATTAGTATTGTCGACTCGACCGACGGTCGAATGGTCTTATTAGTAACTAAATGCAATGATCACTCCTCCGCACCACGCTGTCGGAAAACATTTCGGGTTATAAGGCGACTACCATCTAAACTTTGACCCGATAAAGAACGTTTCTCTACTCCGGTTCGACTTCTTTTGTTTAGAAGAGGGGTGCTCTCGTCTCTCTCAGTATTTTCTAGTTTAACCGGAAGGCCCTCGGCCCACCGTCTCGAAGGGCTCGGTCGTAAAACAAGGATTGTTCGGGTCGTTCCTTCGGGAGAACGAGACCGGAATCCGGGCCTGGGAAGCACCCTCTGTACATTTGTCTCGCGTCTTTACTCGATGAAAGATGAAAATGTAAAATTTGAAATTTCCACCCCGCCGGCAGAAACGGAAAAACGAAAACCCCTCGGAAATTCCTCCTCCGTTTCGAAAATTGAATTCGATAGTTAATTTCCATCCGTCGTACTGTACATAGAAACTCCGTAAATACGTCCTCTTAATTGACTCAAAATGTTTTAATAAGTGATCATTTCCATTTTGTTTTTGATTTATTTAACGTATTTATTGTAGACCCAGTGTTTCTTTTGTAATGTATTTAGCAAAATCAATAAAAACTTTGCATTTTTATCGATACGTAGTCTTTTCTGCCGTAAATTTTACCGAGTGGAAAAGAATTTCCGACTTTTTTAATTCCGAAAATGAATTTTCGTCCCTCCGTTTCGATTCTCGTTTACGTTACAAATATAAGACTACTAGCGGGTAGGCCCGGCGTTGCTCGGGCATAAGTAACCATAGCGACGATTAATATTATTATAGTCGACCTTACCCGTTTTCGCGGAATGCCAGAATTGGGTCTCCCCCGTTTCCGGACTAATTAGAGAATTTTTAGGCGGGTCTAAAAATATGTTGGATTTCCCGCAAAAACGAAAAAAACTGCGAGCGCGTCGCTTTCTCTTAACAATTCCATTGTTACGTAACGCTTCTATTATTGATGGAAGCGTTAAGCCTTAATCCCGTCGTCTTCCCCGTGGGGAGGAATTTCGAAAAATCCCTTCTTAGCGCGCGTTTTCGCGACGTACCCTAACCGTGTACCAAGTTTCGACTTTCGACTCCTAACCGTTTGGGCTCCGCGGTTATTATTATCGACCCGTGTCGGTTATATATGTAGATTGTTAACCTATATATATAATCGAGACTTTGTTAATTGCGAAGAATTAACAAAGTGGTAATTTTCTTTCGTACGTTTTAAGTTATCGGGCTGGTGGCCGGAGTAGCCGACAAAAAATCGTCGACGTAAACTATTCAATAATTGTTTTTCTATAAGTACTGTAATTTTCTTTTGATTTAATATTAGACGATCGTCGAATACCTTCCGTTCTACATTCGTTATAGAAAGGTATTAAAAATGTTCTTCTTTCTCGAGAATTTTTAACGAGATCGACCGACGTATTCGTATTCCGCCATTCGCCTAGCTTTTTATTTAATTTTAATGCGACGACGGCGGATTAAATTTTACTACGCGCCGGCTGCCACCGTAATACCGTACGCGTAACGCTACGAGATCGATCGGGTATAGGAAATACGTCTTTTAACACTTCCGGAGGTTTTTCCAATTCGAATTGTCTGGAAACAATCGAAGCTTAGAAGTTTTCCTTCTAAGCTTTATCTACCGTCTTGGCCGACGTTACTTTTAACTAATCGCCGACTCGCCGAAGCTATCGATGGCCGCCGAAAGCCCCGCCTCCCACTTTGGCTATAAATTCGCGCTTTTACTGGGTTTTTAGCTCTAATTAACTAATTTAAGGCGAGTAAACGTCATTTTAGAAGTAAATTTTTCGGGAAAGTCGACTCCCCTCGCCGTTACGTAATACCGGAAAATATATAAATAATGGCGGGCACCGTGGCGTATTATAGTCGAATACGGTAAAAATAGTCGAAATAATATGTAATACGCGTTATGGCCAAGAAAACTCGACCCCGGGACGACTGGTTCGGAGAGTAGAGACGGAGCGTAAATAACGGCGATAACATTTCCCCCGCTCTAGCTAGAGGGCTGCGGCTTGGCGCCACTGAAGTACAAAATTCGTAGGATCCGTTTAAATTAAATTTTTTTCGTTTTTTTGTAAAATATGTTATGTTAGTAAAGATATTATTTTAAATTCGAATTATACGGAAAACCCGTCGAATGCGGGCGATTTCGAAGCCGAGTTACGGAAATTTAACAAATTAGGCGAGAAATATCTTAAATTAATTAAATGGTTAACCGACAAGCGGATCATTTCTGTCTTAACGCGTTCATTCGACAAACGAGGATAATCAAATACCATTTGCTAAAGCGGCGGTTTTAAATGCCGATAGTTCTTTTTGTTTTTAATCTTAGAATTTTTTCCGAAATTCTTGTTTTTTTGCCATAGAGTGGCGAAGTTTCATTGGTGGCTTTTTCTTTCCTTAAGCGAAAGACGGCATCCGAAACGCCCGGTTTGGCTTTCGCCCTCCTTTTAAAATCCGGATCGTCGGCTAGGGCTTTATTTTATTTACGAAAACATTTTTTTAATTTAAATACCGTCTTAACGAAAAATAAGACGCGTGATGACGATGGAAATAAAAATTTTTTACCACGAAGAAAAATATCGCCCGCTTACAAAATGGCGAAACCCAGCGCGCGCCCAGCGACGGTATCGTCTGGCAAAGTAAACGCCGGTAAGTCCAAACTTTTATATTTATTTATTAATTTTTTTCTCCGCGAGCTTCGACGCGTTTTACCATTAATATTCGTCGCCCTTTGGCTTCGATATATTTATCGCCGACGTTCCGTTAATAAATAGGTCTTCTGGTTAATGTATTGTCTTTTAACCGCCGAATGCCTGTACGGCGGAGGGTTATCCCGCGTATCTACGGAGAGTGGCGATAAATGGGCGCGCCCGTATCGAAGAAAACCGCGGTTTAGCCGTTTTACTTTCTCCTTCTCGTACGTAAAATTAATATTCCCGTCTTACCCCGCGGGTGGGGCGAGACCACGCGTCCTTAGTTCTTTTGACTTATACGTCCTTACTCTTATAAATTTCTACTCGTAGCCTCGTCTGGTCGGACCTTCTTTATTAACGGGACTCGCTATAAGGCGGTATACGGGCGAAAGTAGACATTTTGTTTCGGCTTTCCGACCGACATCTTCCTCTAATCGGAAACTACGCCGCTATAATAAGTCGTACGAAGGATTATCCCCAACTCCGCATCTACGTACTATTTTAAGCGCGATTTTTTTGCGGGAAATGGAACGTATTTCCGACCCGTGTAAAAATTCTGTACTTAGCCCGGGAAGAGAGCCAACCTAATTTTTGCACCCGGCGAAAAGGGGAAAGATAAAGTATTAGATTATAATCTAATAATCTTTATCTCGGCCGTCGTTACTTTTTGCCTCAGCCACGCCGGTTCGTCGGCTAGTAAACCGATAATTTCCGCCGTGGGCTTACGAATAGCCCGGATAGGTTATTTCGACCAGCCACGGTAACGTTTCTTTAATACGCTACTTTTTACCACCATCGTTTTTACCTTAGTAACAAATAATGGTCCTTTTCGGTGTATTAACGGGACGTCGGGCCAAACCGTATTTCCACGCTGGATGAAGTTTTCTTATTCTCGAAACGTACGGTTAGAGTTAAAATAAACCATGCCGGACGAAATAATTGGCTTTTATTTAAACTCGATTTAAAATTACAAAAGTCGACGGATAAGAAAAGCCACGACCGCCGACAGGCGTTAAATGGCTAAAATGATTTGCATAATTTCGCCTCCATTTCGTGGCGTAACGTTCGACGTGGCTTTCTAGACGTAAATTACGCGTAAAGCGCGATATTTCGCGTTTTACCATTAAAAATCCTAAATAAGGATGGATTTAAATATACGTTAAATTCCTAAACTACTTTGGGCGTTAACGAGCCGTTTAACGTGGCGTGGAAATGTAAATTACGTCGCTGGAGAAGCCGGCGAAACGTATCTCGACGCTCTAACGTTAATGGATTTTTCTTTCTCGAGTGCGCGTGGATTTGGCAATTTGACCAGTGCCGAAAGACGAAGAAACGGCCATCGGTCCTTTCCGAGCCATAGGTATCTTCGAGCGGTGGCAAAATGGAATTAGGAGTTTTGCCAACTAAGAATTAACCCCGGTAGGACCGTCGATCGGCGTAATTATGTGCCCGAGGTAAGTGCCGATTCCTTGATTTCTCCACCCGCGGCAAAAACGGGCGGTTCGTAGAAAGTCGTAGACACGCCCGAAAGTCCGTTTACGCCCGGAAAACGTATCGGACGCGTTCTTAAGCGGCGGCGGGATTTGCCGCCGGTCGATAGCGCCCGACCGTCTGGCAAAAACTTTGGTTAAGGCGAGAGCGGAGAACGTAATCTATTCCGACCGTACAAAAATGGCGGATACCAACGTTTGCCGGTTAACCTGGCGTGAAACGTAGAGAGGTTACGGGGGAGGAAGAGCGCGGCGCTTCCCGTCGTCGTTTAGATTCGCGTCTAATCGAATTTAAGCGGCGCGGATCGCGCTTCCAGACCGAAACGTTTACGGCAGCCGTAGGCGAAATTCGCGGGTTTACGTTTCCCGCGTAATACGGGAGAAATTTCTCGTAAGTTTATATATTTGTTAACTTTTAATTTTTCTAATATTTTTCGAAATTCCGACTAGAATAGAATAGAATAGCGACTCCTAAAAATTGTAGTAAAAACGCCTGGGGGTCCCGTTAACCGAAAAGTACCGTTCTTTTTAATAACGATAATAATTTTATGCATTAATCTAAATATATCGTCCCGACTGACTGACTTAGTCACTAATTCATCGCCCAGAGCAAACCGCTGAATCTAGAGGTGAAATTTGGTACGCGGTTAGGGTAGGTGGTGGAAACGCGCAATAAGAAGGGATTTTTCGAGATTCCCCGCGGGGGAAGAGAATTAAGGCTTAACCGGAAAAACGGCTTTTACCGTACTATTTTACATGCGATTTTTCGTTTTCAACTACGTTTAGTTTTTATCGAGTACTAGCAGACCCCGCCACGCCTTGTTGTGGCTCAAAATGTATCTATTATAAATGTATAACACTTCCCCCATGGGGCAAATTTCGAAAAATTTTTTCTTAGTGTACATTCTCTTGACGTACCCTATTAAAACGCAATCATAAACGCAAAAACCCGCATCTAAAATAGTATAATAGAAGCCAAGTTCTTCACAGTAAGCCTTAATCTTGTCCCTCTCCCCCGCGGGGGGAATATCGAAAAATCCCTTCTTAGTGTACATTCTGTTGACGTACCCTATTAAAATGCAATCAAAAATGCAAAAAAACCGCATCTAAAATAGTATAAATAGAAGCAGAGTTCTTTACGGTAAGGCTTACCGTAAAGAACTGTCCATCCCCCATGTTTAACGGAATAATATACAGCCTATGTCCACCCCGAAGTTCCATTTTAAATATTGGTGAAAAAATTTTTGAAATCGGATGAGTAGTTTCGGAGATTACCCGCTGCATACAAACTAACATACATACATACATTACCTCTTTATTATATTAGTATAGACTTAGATGTATTAAATTGATAACATTTCAGACATTGTTATAAATATTTTCGTATATTTCG